TTCAGTAAAATCAATCATACTTTAATTGCACCAAGGGAGGGAGTTCTTCTGTAAAGGAATGATGGGTAGCAATAGTGGTAACTGCCGTTGACTGGTTCTGTGTGTTCTCTCTGCATATGAGGCCAAGCACTGTGCCAACCTTGTCAGGGCCCACCGAGGGACCTACTTTAGCTGTTTCATTTACAAAGGCACTGACATACTCACTGAAATCAGTGACTGGCGGTGGGTCACAGCCAGTGACTCGCTCTACTGGGATTTGAACTTTTCTCTGTCTGACCCAAATCCCGAGCGAGCCACCATGCTCCACTGCCTCCTGAGGTATAAATAGCATCCCTGACCTCTACATCTGCAGAGTGCTTTATGATTAACAAGGAGCTTTATACTCATGGGTGCTTATTTACCTCCTACCTGCCCCACAGCAGCCTTGGGAGCCAGATAGCGATGGTCCATCCCCGGTTTGCAAGCTGGGATGACTTGTGCGATGTCCACAGCAGTGAGCAATGTTTGGGGCCCAGTTCTCCCAGCGGTGGATACTGCGTTCCTCTCCCTTGTTCACTGGACTCTGCGATTGACAGTAAGGCTCACACAGGGCTATCTCACTTTATGTTCCTGCCGTTTTCCCGTTGCTGTTTCATTTCCTTTGCACAGCCTGCCTCTTCCTGGGCCCTGTTTCGCCGCCTTCCTCTCACTGACTCTGTTCCGTCTGACTGGCCTCTTCACTCTTGGCCTGCCTGGAGTGGCCAGTCCCAGATCCTGGCCTTGCTGCTGTCCCAGAACCTCCGCCCCAGCCCCAGCTCTCTGTCCAGTTGCCGGCAGCCTCTGATGCTCTGTCTTTCACTTATCACCACCTGGCCCGTTTTATATTAACCCACTTTTTAAACAACCTTCCTTCTCCTTTTTAATGGAAGCCCCATGAGGGCAGAAATTTTCCCTTTCATTTGTGTACTGTGATCTTCCTTCTGGCAGACACTCAGAAGGCATCAAAAACACAGCTGCCATGTGCAGGAAAGACACAGCGATTATGGCCATCTCTGGGCTGTGTCACTGGGGTTCTCCCCATTCCAGGATGAGCCCCCGAAATTCTGAGGGGGTAAATGCTTCTGCTGGGTCCACATGCACCTGCCGCGCTCAGCTGGCATGACCTCCCCCCTACCCCACCCCTCCATTGATGCTTTATAAATGTATCAGGGGCTGAATGATGTCACTGTAATGCATTTTGGGAATAGCCATGTGGGTTATACACACTTGAGTTGCTTTGAATGCAAACCTGACATCATACTGAAGGCAGCAGCAAACAACGTATGCACAGTAAACAGGGAGAGACTGTCTTATTGATTAACAGATGAGGCCTCTATTATCGATCAAAGCTTGGTGAGGAAATTTATCACTTTTAATTTCAGGGCTGCCAAATATTTCTGCCTCTGAGCCAGCCATTAGAGAAACAATTTAAAGGCACAAGCCTCCTCAGGAGGGCGGATTGCATCTGGCGCACTCTGCCTGGCCCTTGCGTCCCTGGACCCGCCTGGCTGTGCTCTTTTGCTCACTCTTGAGAGTCAGTCAGGGTCTCTCTGGGCGATGGTGGGAGGAGGAGTGGGCTTCATGAATCGGGGCCAGTGATGGGGGCCAATGTCTGTGGCATCAGTGTGTAATGAGGGGCTTGACCTTAGAGTCCCTGAGGACAGGGACTTTCACACACTGAGCTCATCTCATGACTTCATTCAGTGGGGTGGAGTGGGACGGAGTGGAGAGGCAACCAGATGTGGTCAGGCTTGGACCAAGCCAGCAGCCTTTACTACCTTCTGTGTGCTCATCCGTTCTTATCTTCATCTGAACTCGCCTGATGGTACACATCCGCCCTTCATTTGGAACCTGCTCTTCTTCCTTTCTCTGTGCTTCTCGGTCATTAAAGCGAGATGCTACCACAGCCCACATGATGACAGTTTCTAAGAACCTCCCACACCACATCCCTTTGAAGCCTGCAGCGCTGTGGGGCTTCTCACTCAATCGCAGATCTCCAGCCTGCTGGCCTGGCCCGCAAGGCAGCCTCCTCGCCCAGCTTTCTGGAGGAGCTGTGAGAATGGAGAGGCACCAAAGAAAGAAATGCAATTAAAATCAGATCCCTTACAGATCCACAGAAAATCATTGCTGGCTAATGATTTGGGACCAGGGGGCGTTGCTCAGTGTCAGGGAGCTGTGACTTCATCCAGTCCCAGGTTCGCTGTCCTGGCCTGCTCTGTTTCTGGAGCTGCTTCTCATTTCTGGTACAGAAGGGTGACAGAAGTCAGCTACCGCTCTGTGAACGCTGGCTTCCCATCTCTAATGGGAATTTTCTTGGCTTTCGTTCAAAGCTCGGTAAACCGTGTACCAGGTGCTTGGCCTGAGGATATCCTACAGCTTTGAGGGACACCCAGAGGTCATCACGGAATTCTTCCTACCTCCAAGTGAAATGCAACCCCAGCCACCTAAGACGAGTGACAATATTTATTTTTAACTCTCTTTAGGAAAAGCAGTTCCATATCTCCCCTGGCGTACTTTATCAGTCTTTGATTCAGTCTGTGAACGTTTATTTATTGAGGACCGGTAGTGTGTATCCTGTTCATCATTTGTAATATGGATCTTGAGATAGATGAGATTGATGGCCCCATCAAAGGCCCCAGGGTCTTTGTCCTCTTTGACAACAAGACCTATTTTTTGGTGTTTTAAGTCTTTGTATTTGGAATTATATTCCTTGATTATGCTAATATGTCAGATGTTTTTGTTTTTATTTTATTTTTTTGAGACAGGGTCTTATGTAGTCTAGGCTCATTATGAGCTCATTATGTATCCTGGGCTGGCCTCAGTCTTGTGGTGATCCTCCTGTCTCAGCCTCCTGAGTGTTGGGATTACAGGTGTGAGCCACCACACCCATTTTTTTTTTTTTTTTTTGAGACAGGGTCTCACTATATAATTAAGGTTGCCCTTGAACTCGCTATGTAACCCACACTATCTTGGATATCACAGTAATCCTCCTGCCTCAGCCTCTCTAGCACTGGGAACTTTTTTAAAAAGTAGTTGGAACCGTTTCTCCAAGCACTGTTTTGCATAAAACTCTGGTGTGTACAATACAAAAACTAGATTTTCTTTTTATTTTATTTTTTTGCATTGAAGGAAGAGAAGTCAGACCCCATCTTCCTACACATAAAGCAGCTTTGCAGATGGAGCCTAAAGAGGCTAAAGGTACAGGAGCTGAAAGCAAGGGCTCTGGATCAGGCTATCTGGGTTCGAATCCACCTCTGCTATGAACTCCTGTGGTGCACTGGGCAGGTGGTTGTGCTCTCTGATCTGGGCCCTTTACTCATTGCTAAGTGGAGGTAAAGACTCTGTATTTCAAATAGCTGTCATTACAGTTACTTGAAATGCTGTGTATTAAGCATTTAACATCATGCCTGCTATATAGTAAAGCCTCAGGAAACCTGAGGAGGTTTGAAACAGCATTAGCAGCTATAACTGTTCATAAAAAGTGGTTCCAACTCTTCCGAGGCGCCAGTGCATAACTGAAACACAGGCGGATGTAAGGAAGTACTCTAGCATGTTGAAAGGAACCAAACAGAGGTGAGAGATAGGAACGAGCAGAGCAGGGAGGGCCCGGAGTGCTTGGTGTATGCATCCTCTGGTCTTGATGATGGGATGCACAGAGGAATGAGATGGGCATCAAGCACAGATACTCAGGGAGCACTGAGCAGCACCCAGAGAGGGTGATAAAACCTGCCGAGGGGTGCCCGCTCCCTGGGGCAGGTTGTAGAAGGCCGGGAAGCCATGTAAAGGAAGTCACAATTAGTACAGATTGTGAGCCATTGAATCTTTGTGAGGACAGATGTGGACAAACTCTAGGGGCCTTCAAGGAACCTACATCTGTTTGGTAGGTCCAGAGGGTGGTCTAAGACACCATCCTTGAAGCATTCAGGACTTAGTCACTGGTAAAGAGCACTGTTTCATCTTACTGTGGTGATGATGTCATGTTGAGCTGTATAAAACTGTTTCTAAGTTGCGTCAGAATTAAGTCACATCAGTTTGACTGCATTTATTCTGCACATGCAGAGTTACAGGTTCCTGCTATGTGTCTGCAGATTCTGCTGCACGCAGAGTGACGTGGTCTCTCAGTCAGAGAGCTTACAGCGTGATGGGTGACAGACAGGTCCACAGGTGGTTAGGATGGAGCTGAGTAAGGACCATGAGCTAGAACTCTGCACAGAACACTATGAGACAGAAAGAAGGGCTCCCTACCCCGAAGTAAAGAAGCAGGTGTTGAAGGTGAACCCTAAACAATGAATAGGAGCTCAGCTCTACGGGGGTCAGGAGGGGCAGAGATGGAGCTCAGAGGCAGAAGATATGTGGAAGAGTGCAGGCCAGGGCAGTGTTGTCCAGTGTTGCTGAGAACCGAGGACCGGGATGGCGGCTGAGAGATGGAGCAGGGAAGATGCCACAGCACGAAGGGCTTTGTGAGTCCCAGGAAGAGTTTGGGCTCCACCCTCCAGCTGGGGAAAGGTTCAAAGGTGTTAAATAGTTAGGTGCAGGTGATCGAGGATAGATGGTGAGTTAATTTTGGATATGCTGAGTCAGAGGCCCCTGCGGACAACCAAGCGCAGGTACAATGTACTGGTTGGTGCGTTTCTTCTTGCTGGTATCGTTTGTTCCTGTCCGTCCTCCACGTGGTGCTGACCCTTCAGAATGACCCTTCTTCTTGGGAGGTGTCTCCTCTGGGCTCCATCTTCCTTTGTCTTAGTTGTGCTGATTTTGCTGCCTTTTCCCTGGTTAGAGCTCTTGGTGAGGGCTTTTGGAGCTCATTTGCGTGGGTGGCCACTTACTGGGGGTTAGCCTGGGCTGGTTGCGCAGATTATCCCTGCCTCAGGAGCTTCACAGGTGTCTGGCTCATCCCCTAGCATCCACCGGTGCGGTTCTCACCTAGGCTCCCCTCCGTGTAGACTGTGGATGTGGTGGTAACTGCCTCTGCTTCCTTTCAGCGGGTGCCAAAGCCTTCGTCTGTGATCAGTGTGGCGCACAGTTCTCGAAGGAGGATGCCCTGGAGACACACAGGCAGACCCACACTGGTGAGTTGCCTTTGGTTCCCTCTTCCCAGATTTTCCATTGTGACCGTGCATGGATATAAAGTACCTGGGTGACAGCCTCTGCTTGGCAAGCGTGATTTCCAGTCATTTATTTGGTTGCTGTGGGTGGGGATGGGCTTGTGTCACATTTGGTGACTCTTGCCTAGGGGACAGGAATTTGCAAGTGACACTGTCCCATAAGAGCAGTCATCTTGGAGCAGGCCAGGATCTCTACTGCAGCAGGCCACCAAGATCTTGTCTTCATGGAGGCATCTTGTACCCTCTTGCTGAGGCCTGAGGAAGTCCAGTGAATGGTCAGGAAGCCTCTAACACTCCTTGAATGAAATACTGAAGCTGCCACAGTCGTCTGGGCCTCCCTTTTTGAGGGTCAAGCCATCCTTTAAAAGACATAATCTGAATACAAGTACGTATTTGAACAGCAGCTGTCAACTGGCAGTGGTGTAGCTTTACTCGATTCCAAAGCACTGATTTCCCCACATCCATGTCATCTTACCGTTGTAATTATTGTCCTCATCATGGGAGCTCACACCTGCTGAGCGTTTGCCGCAGTGTCAGGCACTGTTCTCCCAGCTTTGCACGATCCCGTTTGGCCACTCTGTCAGTAACCCTGTGAGGCAGGAAGCTACTCCTGTGCCATAAATGAGGAAACTGAGGCACAAAAGGAAAGGGCCATGGTAGGGACAGACATGGTGGAACCTGTTCTGCAGAGCTCAGGCTGCCTGCATTTAACCCTGTCTCTGCTACTTCCCATTTATGACACGTTCAGAAGTTATCTGAGCTTTCTTTATTTGGATTTCCCGTACTCCTCAAAACATAGAATATTAGTATGTGTGTTATAAGGTTGTTGTTTGCATTAACCAAAGTATTGTATTTGAGGTGCTTTGGGGAGTGTTTGGCTCATAGTAAACATGCAGTAAATAGAAGTAACCATATGTAATCAATATTTATTGAGTTTCCACAATGTGCCCGGTGCTGCTTGGCCATGTAAGATACAATAACAAAAGGGGCAGACAACTTTCCTGGCCCTCATGGAGCTGAGATTCTAACTGGGACCACCATTAAGAAAGCTAACATTGAAACAGAGGGAAGGGTAGAAAGCGATAGAGAGAAAAGTGATATTCTGGATAAGATGGTCAGAGAAGGGCTCTTTGAGAAGGTGACAGCTGGGCAGGAAGGTGAGCGACTCGGGATTGCTGAGGGCAGGGAACAAGCTCACGAGGTCAGCTTGAGCCCGAAGTGCTCAAGGAACGGGATGAAGAACAGCGTGGCAGCAGGCAAGAAGTGAGGTGGCAGACGAGGACAGAGTCAGAAAGTACAAAGAAGTCTTACAACTCAGAAATCAGATACAAATGACCAAATGAGAGGAGGGGCAAAGACTGTGGCCAGACAGGCTTCGAAGATAGACAGCTCGCCAGTGAGCACAAGATGCTCCTCAGCATTAGCCATCAGGGAGTGGAAATCAAAACCATAGCGAGAACCACTTCACACACTAGGATGTGGCTACGTAAGTGACACAGAGAGCAGGAAGGGCTGTGAAGTGTGTGGGAAAGGCAGAAACCTCGCTCACTGCTGGTGGGAATGTACAATGGCACGGCGCGTAGACCCGCAGTTCCTTAGAAGATCAGACACAGAGCTGCCAGATGACCCAGCAACTCCAGGCCTACCTGTCTACCAGAAGAAATGGAGCCATGCGCCCACACAAGACGACACTTAGAATCTACACGTTCACAGACACTTATTCAGAATAGTGGAAGCACAAACAATCCAGCATCCATCAGCTTAGGGATGGGCAAACAGAGTGGGGAAATCCATGCCATGGAATACAGTTTGGCACTCTTCCATGCTACAGCGTGGATGGATCTTGAAAACATGCCCTGCGGAAGAAGCCAGACAGGAAGGCCATGTGTTTTGTGGTTCCCATTTATATGAAATGTCCAAAATAGGCAACTTTATGCAGACCCAAAGCAAATTAGTAGATGCAGGAGGCTGAGGGTAATGGAAGTAAATCGTGACTGCTGATGGGGTATGTGTGTGAAAACGTTTTGAAACTGTGTGGGGTGATGGTTACACATCTCTAGAGTACATTAAAATTAATGGAAGTGTACACTTAAAAGCATGAGTTGTGTATTTTAAGGTATGTGTATTATGTCTTGGTAAAGTTTTGTGTGTACGTGTATGTGGAGATATAGCTATAGTTATAGATATATATAAATGAGCTTCTCTGTGTGCCAGCAAGAGCCACTAGCGTGACACACACCACTATATATCCATAAACATATATACACTAGTATTTAGTGCATGTGTATATGTGTGTGTATGTACACAGCATTACTGACACATAATATACTTACATATTTGCTTCAATATCAAGACATATATACACATAAACATTAACAGAAAAAGGGTGTTGGAGAGTTCCTATTTATTTGTTTATTTTTTCCATATTATGATGATCCCAAAGCCTTTACACATTAGGTATGTGCTCTACGATTGAGCTACCCCACCCTCATTTGAACATTTTGCATGGGAGAGTGACATGACTTGATTTATGTGTTTAAAAGCGTACTCTGGCACCTGTACTGAGAACGGCCCATGAGGACTGTTTCAGCTGTCAGTTGCTGTGTGACAGACCACTCCCACAGCAGCCTAGAACAGTCAAGTGTTATTGTCTCTGACAGTTCTATGGGCTGACTGGGGCTGGCCCAGTGGGTTCACTTGGGTCCTCTCATGGCTGCCATCAGGCGGTGACTAGATCTTCAAAGGAGTCCCCTGGGCTGCAAGTCTGTGCTGGCTTCTCCACTGCAAATATCTGAGTCTGACCTCTCCCACATGGCGGCAGGGCTTTGTTTCCCGACACTTCAGGGACCCAGGAGTCAGGATGCAGACACTGTCAGCCTTCTAAATGCCGGGAAAATAGCTTTGGAAACACATGGCCTCACTTCTGCTGTTTTTCACTGATCCACATTATCACAAGTCGGCGCGGACTTAGGGTAGTGGAAACCCAAGCCTCTCTTTTTATTGGAGGGTACAGAGGGGAAGGGGGATTAATGGCAGCTGTCTTGGAGACAAGCTTCCCCAGTGCCTGCAGTGGAGTGAGGGTGACAGTGGCCAAGAGTATTTATAAGTTCTAGTCCCTCTGCCTTACAGAGAGTGGAAACTGTTACTCTCAAAACGGGTGCCACAGGCTCTGGTTTGGGACTGTCCTCCACATGTCACCTGTGACTTGCTCAGTGATGACTGAGTAAACAGCTTCTGCAAAGGGTGAGGAACAGGAAGAAAAGAATCCAGGTTAGGGATGAGAGGCCGAGGTGGAAGCGTGTGGGCCATGCATGAGCTGTTCCCCCAGCAGAGCACGGCAGCCGCTTCCTAGTGGGAAATGCCTTGTGCCCAGGGCTTGGGGTGGACCAGCAGCCGCACACCCTCCGTGCAGGGTTGGCGAGGAGATGGTCGCAGGGACGTGAGTGCCTTCCTGACCCCCGGCAGAGGTCCTTTCTCACTCAGCATTGCTCCTTGCAGACTCCAGACTCCGTACAGACACCTCCAATAATCTAAGAAAGGACACAGTGTGGAATGTGTTTCCCATCTCTGTTTCAGGAGGAGGAAGGGAGTCTGCCGACAGGGAATAATGCCAAGCACCAGAGAGGGAGACAGGCCAACGCCGGTGCCAGGGTTACGGGAGAGCCACAGGAGAGCAGGGAAGAAGTCTGGGAAGGACGGGGGATGGAGACCCGGGGAGAGTAGAGAAATGCTAATGCTACCTGGAATGTTTGATACCTTGACTTATAAAACACTTGATTATACCCACTTAACAGATGAGGAATGGAGGCATAAGGCTACCTCTTAGGAAGTGGAGAGCTGGCACTTGACCCACCTGCACCTTAGGGCTCTTCCCACCGCTCCCAGCTGCCTGTGTGTTGACTGACTGCTGTTGTGGTTCAAGGATGGGACAGTTCAGACGGAACCTAGTCAGAGTCAGTTAGCCCATGTCCTGGACAGGGTTCTTTAGAATCCCTGTGACACACTTTACTAAGAATCCCCAACAGTCTTCTTGTAATAGGGTACTGTTTCTTTGAATCAGATTGGGTGTGAGAAGGGGCAGGGGATTTAGTTCAGTAGCATAAATGCATTACTTGCAAGCGCGTGGTCATGAGTTCGATCCCCAGTGCCAATTAAAAAAAAAAAAAGACAAAGATTGACTGTGAGAGTTCCCTGCCCAAGGCCACCATGTGAGGAGAAACAGAGCTATGTGCAGTATTGCATGTGATGAGTGACTTATGGGTATTCTTTAAAAAATTTTTTTTAAAATTTAAAACAATTTTGAGACAGGGTCTCACTAAGCTGTTACATTACCTAGGCTGGGCTTGAACTTGATGCTTCTCCTGCTTTGGCCTCCCAGTGTGCTGAGATTCAAGGTGTGCACCACCATGCCCCCTCTGCAGGAACTCTTGAGCCTCAAAAATGAATCTAGTAGAAAGCAGCTCCAACCGTGATATAGCCAACTGAACGCCAACTGCACACCCCGCTTTGACCCCACTTAGCCTAGATTTCTCTCCCGGTGTGCATGACCCCTTCCTGTTGCCTCCCCCACACTTGATGGACTCAAGCTGGTGCCCGGGGAGGCTGGGCTGAGGCTTTGCTGTCACATTTCAGTGTTGTGTTTGGGTACAGCGAAGACTTGGAGTAGATAAACAGAGATCATTTTACACCTTTTATATTATGACAAATACATATTGCAAAACACTGCTGCTTCCAAAATGTTTGGGTTGCAAAGCAGCAAGGAATTAACAGCTAGGCAGCTCCCGAGATGCCTGTACTTCATTTGCACATCAGAAGTTCTTTTACACTGTTCAGTAAAATCAAAGTGAGAAAACACACATCTACGCATGTGCACATTCACATGTGCACCCCGTGCACCTCCTGGGTTCTATATCGGGAGTCTCTGAAATTAGTAAGTAGTTCTTGGGTCCAGATAAACTGATAAA